TACAAATGGCTTATTCCTCAGACAGCTCTTACATCATCATTATCAGAGAACAGATTACCAACACATTTTATTTGCCTATCAAATGCCAATTAGTATGAGTATGTGACTGCACTCGCAAAGTGATGGACAGAAAATGATCTCATTGCATTGGACCGTGTATACAATATGAATGTCTTCATTTTTCCTTAGTTTTTGTTCACGCACCCAAACGGAAACGAAAACGCCAAACTTTACAGTGTTTTACATTCTAAGATACTGGTTCCAAATACTGTAAAATGACGATTTACTATCACATGTGTAATGCATTCCGTTAATTATTGCCTTCTAGAGATCATTGTCATTTACTGGATTGTCCACTATGTTTTCGAGGAAGGCAATCCAAGGGGAGTAGATTTTTTGTGACATAAATGACAACGTCTTTTTGTGGCTTTATTCCAAGCTAATGTACGTCTAGTTGATAGCAGTAAAGGTAACGAAGGTCGGCTTGAAGTCTTCCTTGACGGTGAATGGGGCGTGGTTTGTAGCAATTCGTGGGGACTAAACGAATCTGAGGTGGCTTGCCGACAGCTGGGATTCCCTACTGCCATCAAGGTTACACAAGGGAAGTTTTCTGGAAACGGAAGTTCACCGATTCACTTGTACAGTGTCAAGTGCCGTGGCGTTGAGCGTGACCTGGAGAGTTGCCAGCGTGAAGTTGGAAAAAACGATGATTGTACTTATAAAACCGTAGACGTTGTGTGTGCCAAACGAGGTAACAACATTTTATTTGGTACTTACTGTTTGAAAAGAGGGTGCAAATATGAAGACAGAATGCAAAAATGCAAACAAATATCAATAACGGAACTATATGGTTCAATTCATTTCTGCACTGGCGTTATGCTGGGGTTCTCTTACATGAAGATTGGAAGGAGTTGAAACAAGAACACCGAGCAAAACTTCAGTTTAAAAAGGCAAGGATCAAGTTTATGGCTTGTACTCGGTGGAAATGGTATTGTCCTGTGCGGTGGTTTTGAATGCTGATGTTGCATATGTACATGTACACTATTTCTGTAAACATGTTAACCTGTATTGAAAATTTTACTAAATATGAATATTATTTATGAATGTGCTCTCTATAGGAAATATAACAGTTGGAACTGAAGATTTGTTTGTTTTCTATAGTTCATTTGGTAAATGCAATTAGCTCTAACGAAGGTCGAGTGGAAGTATTCCTCAACGGATCCTGGAGGATGGTCTGTGGTGACGGCTGGGACATACAAGACGCCACAGTCATATGCCGGGAACTAGGGTTCGGGGAAGCTTTGTCTACAATTGCTACCATTGATAGAGGTGTCAAGCGCGAAGTCTTAGCGGCGTTTAACCTGAGGTGTGCAGGTGACGAGAAGGCGGTGATTGATTGCCGATATGACGCCACAAGTGACTGCTCGCTTGAGGAAGTTGCCGAAGTCAGATGTGGTAACCTGTGCCATGAGTTGTTTTTTGGGAGAGCGGTTTTACCATTCACAGATTCCACTAGCCAATTAATTTATCGGAGAAGAGTCTCCATCATTTGCGATTTTACACCAGATGTTATAGAATTGAAAACTCGATCAAGATCATAAATAAGGATAATTTGTAATGCATTTTGAATGAAATTAAACAAACTGCATCACTTATTTACCTCCATAACAACGATATAAATGCGGAGTCACACTTTACCGATAACCAACAACAAACACAAAAACACTGCAGTGCAAATCTATCGAAGAGTTTTCATAGATGCAAATTTGCAGTAAACATCGAGTCGCTTTGGGGGCAAGTGTCTGTGGACGGTTTCTATATTAAATCACACTTCGGGTCAGTTTGTACTTCCCTCCTCTCTGTTTGGGGAGAAAACGTGGTTTTTGAAGGCAAAATGCGATTTTGCATTGCAAAACCGAAAAATTCAATAGGGGGGGAGACTGATTTAATGCTTGGCAGTGTTGATGAGTATTTCGTGACGCTCGCTGTGATTTACATGTACATGTATTCTGGATTCAAGAGAGACAAAGAAGATACACCATCATGGGCCCTAGAACAGTACTTTAACAGTGCTTATTTACACGTTCGTTATGCTCACAATGTGACTGAGTCTTTAAAGATGTCACCACTGTTTGGTTCATCAGCAGCTTAGCAAAAGTGATAACTCTAAAACATTTTGTTTACGTGTGCAAGTGCAGCTTCCGAATGCGTGCTTCACCGAGACTCCTCCAATGTCGTAATGCTGATATCAGATGAGCAGGCTGCCTACCTTCCTGGTGACTCAGTTGAATACGCCTGTCCAGATGGATATCATCTCAGTGGGTCCTCAGAAAGGCTGTGTCGGTCAGATTTCACGTGGTCTGGGGTTCCGGCTGTTTGCCATGAAGGTAAA